TTCTTTGTGAGCTCCTTATTCATACTTAACCTTTCCAAATATACTTGTAAAATGTAAATGTTAGATCATTCACTGATAGCCACCAATATCTTTAATAGAAAAGGTTAATTCAAACAAATATTAGACTAAACTGGTAAAAGAAATATAACTGGTCCTCCCATCTCCAGTTCCTTATGGATTTGCTATGTTGCTTCATATTATACCTTACCTCTAAGTGTCTAGATCATCCTGTATATATACTATACTCTGGAGAGTCCTCCAAATGCTTCTAGATGTTAGCAGTGGCACAAATCCTACTCCAGAGGGCTTAATATAATTTGTCTCTATTATAATTCAAATGATATTCAAAAATGTAAAATGATTGATTTTGAAGAAAAATGACTCCCAGCCACTTTCTCTTTGGTTCAATGTCAGTTCTCACCTATTTCAACCATCAGTACAATCGTATTCAAAAAGATGAGGAAGATGATGAAGTTTGTGAAGAGAGGACCTGTTTTCTCTTAAGGAAGCATACAGAGTGGAGTCCTTTCTGATTTATGCAGATGAAATAATAATGGCAAAAATATAAGCAGAGAGAATAAGAAGAAAATGGAGTTTGGGAAGGGAAAAATAAGTCATTAGGCAGATGATGAGTAGCCATGGATAAAAATGAGTGACATGAAAGGATACATTCAAGAACCCATCCAGCCCACAAGGAAAGTGGTGGCCTCTGACTGCAGCGCACATGAAGCCTGCTCAGCATTCTTTGGGCATGTGAAATCCGTCCTACATGTTGAGGTTTTATGGAGAAGCGCACTAGCTGGTGTTGATCTCCCAACATAAGTTTTTTCTGATGAGAAGGATCTATAATAACAACAACAAAAAGGGATAGTGGATAAATATAAAGAAAAGTCTTTGGTCGCTTATGAAGAGCAGGTATGGGGGCATGGATATAACTCAGATAATGGGTAGCTTGCCTTGCTGCTGCTCCTTCTCACAGGAACTAAAAACCCTGTCAGTCTGGAGTGAGAGCTAATGTATTGCTTATACCCAACATTGTCCACGCCAACGAACAGAAGCAGCAGGTTCAGCCTTCAAAGTTTTAAGTGTCTTTGGTAGAAACTTTTCCAAGTTAGCTAGGCCTAAAAGTGACTTGGGTTCTAACTACTAGATTCAAAGAGTTTTATTTATAAACCCTTTATTTATTATGTTTGGTGTAATATCCAAACCAGCAACCAAACCAATCTCCCTTGAATTTTCCACTCTTAATCTTGTCTCCCTGCTTCCTACTCTTTGGAAGATGTGGATAGGAGTCTTAAATTTAGCCGGTTAAGAAACAAGACTGCTGACCAACTAACTCCCGGACTGTGTGCCGTGGCACAGCCTGGCTCAAGCCTTGCAAATGTTCGATAAGAGAGAAAGTATCAATGAGACGTGAACGAATGGCATCAGCTCGGGGCAGTTGCACGTGCCCTTCTCGGTGAAAAACGGCCATGTCTGTTAAGAAAACGGAAGGATAAAGTGTCATTTTATTCTCGCAGTTGCACCAAGGATTAAAAGGTTTCTGTATCTCCTCCCCATCTCTTTGCCCGTAAGAGACCTTAAGGAGCTCATAGCTAGGAACTATGACCAGTTGCGAAAAACAAACACATTGTACTGAGACTTAATAAGGGTTTTTGAAACAAAAAAGGATAGTAGGAATAAGAGAGATAGCGTGCAGTTGATCAAGTGACAGACACCTTCACTCTGACAGCGTTTCTAATTAAAAACTCATTAAAAAAAAAAAAAAAAACCCTCAATAAAACAGCAGCAGCCACAAGGGCAAGAGCCCCAGGACTGGACAAAGAAGAATCCTGGCCCCCACCCGGACCTGAGAGAACAGAGCAATGAGTAGCGGTGGGAGGGCTTAGGCGGGCTGCCTCCGGAAGAAAAACCAAGTGAAGAGAAACTGGACAAAATGCAACAGCCTCACATTTTAAAAACGTGTCCCGTCCCAAGTGTGTCCATCCCAACGCTCCCTCGAGGGCCAGCTCCTTCTCCGTTCAATTTCCGCATCTGGGCCTCACCTCAGCCCAGGCTCTCTTCCGCCCTCAGCCCTGACTTCACTGCTCCGCCCCCGGCTCTGGCACCCCACTGGCTCGGCTTTCCCCACGCAGGACGAGTTCAGGGCCGGCTCCCAGACTCGCAGCGTCCCATTTCCAGCCCCGACCCGCCTCGCCCTACCCCCACGTCCCAGCTCGCCCCACGGACCCGCACCCGTACCTAACCCCTGGCCCAGGCCTGGACCCCGCAGCGCTAGCCCAACGCTTGCCGCCCGGGCCCCGCCCCGTGCTTCGGCCACTCGGCGGTTACCAGCTGGTTCCGCCCGCCCTACGCAGGCGCCGCACAGCCAATCGGCGGCTGCCACACTAGCGGCCTTAGCCGGGCTGGGGGTTGGGACCGCCGGCTGCAGGTCCGCCTGGCCCAGACGCGCGAGCACAGGCAGCGGGAGCGTGGTGGCTGGCCCGACCTCCGCAGTCCCCACCGAGCCCCG